GTACAAGTTTTCCCAGCTCTTGCGCTATTATACATATCACATTATCTTCCGATTTAGCTGCATTTTCACATAGCTTCTTAATAAGTGGGGCTATTATATTTTTTATTGTATCTGTGAACAATTTATGTTCAAATTAATTTCTTTTCGCTACTTGATTTGTGTCAAGTGTGTTATCGTGTTTACGCAATTTTTATGCTATTAAAACATAAAATTGCTCCAAAATATATAATTACTCACCTTCCTGAAGATGAGGTAGTAAATACACTATTGTCTGTACAGAGGCGTATCTTACACTGCTTTCTTCGTCACTTGCTAATTCTACAAGAGATGGTAGTAAAGCAGGTTTTACAGATTCAGCACCGAGACCTTCCGCAACAAAACGTAGCTGCAAACAGATACTAGCTCGCACTTCACTGCTTACATCCTGACAAAGGGAGTGCACCGTTGGTAGAACTTCCTTCTGTATCCTGATAATAATTTTAATAATAGTACACTTATTTATTACATAGAATGTATAAAAAATGAATTATAAATTATTTAAATATTTTATATAGATTTTTGGTTTAAATATTTCTTCTACATCACAAAAGTATAATAGGCAATTGTCTGGTCAATGATCTAAATTAGTTCTGCTATTAACTAAATGTTATTGAATAATTTTGAATAACTAAATACATCAAGATTTTATTATACATAAATTTATGAAAACAATTGTATATTTGAATACTCACATAGCAGAATCAAATCGTGTACAAATCTTTCCCAATAACCTGCTGCACGTTATCCTGGAGTAGATAGGTTGTGACAATTGTCCCTTACTTATAGTCAATGGAAGAATCTGTATGTGAGAGTGTTCTTGTTACCATCCATCCAAAAGAGTGCTATGTTGTTACATTCACAGCGATTTAATATCTCAAACATTGATCTATAGTACATATATAATACTTTCTTTTTAAGTTTCTATTTGCAAACACTTGATTTGTATTTTATTTATATCATTAGTTTCTTCAGATTTGGTTTCTGTCAATATGTACTAAATAAATGAAAGAATTGTTTTCTTTTCCATCTATCTATTTAAACAGATTGCTAAGTATGTCAATTTTTTTAAATTGCCTTTACAAACCTGTGCTCTTATGACTTCTACCGGCAGTAATTCTATCACATCCAGTAAGGTCTCCAACCATGCATGACAGATAACTTTAACATAGACACATACAACAAGAGTTAGAGACAGATATTGCGATAACAGGCAAATATTCAACTTTTAACTACAAAATACTGCATTCTAAGGTAACAATTATTAAAAATAAAATATGTTTACCTGGGTCGCGGCTCTCTAAAGAATTTAATATGCTTTGAAGGAATGTCTGACTAAAAACATTATGGCTGACTAATTTTTGTTCTAAAATAGTTTTGAATGTGGATGACGCTGCTATGTGAAACTCGGTTGACGCAGTAGCCAGAGACTGCTGCATCTTAGGTACCACTCGAGACATACATGATTGCGTGTCGGTAGCTAGAAGACTTGGTAAACTTTGTATAACACTAAGTTTCTGGATCTCATCTCCCTTCCTGTGAAAAAAAAGAAAAAAATGTCAATGTGCTTTCTTAAGAACCAACACAGCTGTCATTCATCCGTAGCCTTTTCTGATCGCTTTCTCATTTACATGACACGTGAAATTACTATTCTCATTACTATACTTTCAAACAAATTAATGTACACATACATATAATATGTACCAAAAGTCTCAGGCAGCGTATATCAATCACATTTAATTAATCAATACTTTTGTCACGTTGTTGTACCGTGACACGTCTGAATTAACGAAAGACAAAAACAGAGTTCTTATGCCACGCCAACACATTCAGTCGTTTGCGAGAGTTTAATTCCAAGCATCCCGACGGGCCTCCAATCAATTACAAAACTTGGTGAATCACCCGTTCGTTTCAGAGACACAGAAAAATGTTTGGATTATCAAGTAAAGCAAGTTTCGTGATTCCAGACGTTTACACGGGTCAGGCAACTCAAACATCGAACAAAAAAACTTATATAACAAATTGTCCGTCAGGTCCGACTTTCGGCACACCCCGTATACCACGCGCCAAGGTACACACAATATAATTTACGGGAGAGACAGCCGCGCGGCGTGTGTGGTTAACCTAAATATCCACGGCGAGTTTCGCGAATCGTTCGCGATCCTGGCATCGTTCGCGCGTCGCGACGACGCTCGCGCGGGGCACGTCGTCTTTAAAGGACTATAATTAGCGCACTTAACTGTGACAGGACAGCGTGTGCGCGCTCCTTGAACGACCGCGCGGCTATTTTTAGAAAAGAGCGCGCGCGCGCGCGCGGGGGACGAGAAGGGTAACAAACTCGACTCCCGGCGAAGGGGGTGTGAAAACTCACGATCGACCGACGGGACGGGGGGGTAGGGCACGCGTGGGAAATAAAAAAAAAACAACAACGCGGAGGTACTCACGGATCGGACGCGATCTCGTACGGGGCTTCATCTCCCTCTTGCAGCATTTTCGAGGCGCATCTTAGTCATCGACTCGTCGTCGCGGCCAGCGAGCGCGGCGGGATCGATCAGGTTCGCGGTTCCGGGAAAAGATACCTCTCACGCGAACGGCACGATTGGCACGCGCGTGTTCATTGACAGCGCGCGCGGACGAGAGAAGCACGCGCGACACGCGAACGCCGCGAGAACGCGAATGACAACTGAACGGGGGGAGCGAGGCGCAGGGCGCAGGCCGCGATTTCTCTCTCTCTCTCTCTTTCTTTCCTTCTTTCTCTCTCCGAGCGCCTATCGATCACAATCCGCACTCGCGGCTGCTCGCGGCCGGATTGCGTACCAGCGCGACTGGAGCGCGCACGAATCCGCGCCGAACCGACACGAGCGCGGCCCACGCATCAATTCAACTGGGCGGGCGAGGAGACGCGCACGTTGTACAACGGTCGCACGTCGCACATCGGTGCGTCGCACACGTCGCCGTGACGCATCGCGGATGCGATGCACCGCGATGCACGTTGCACACGGCTGGCATATGGCGCGCGCCGGGGGCGCTCGGTTGCGTAACCCGCTGCGCGGCACAAAAGATGATTTAACGATCGCGTCATCGGGCAATCCGATGCGCCGGCCCCGACGCGTCGGGGAAAAAGCATCCGCACGCCGAATGTTGTCCCCGCAGGGTTGGGCGGAAATATAATTTACATCTACTGTATGTGTAATGTAAATTATGTTTATTGCGTGTCTGTAAACGATGAATATGTAAACGATGAATAATCTGCCAGGACTCAATGGATCGTTGAACGTACAAATTCCGTCGGAAATATCGGAAACTTATTATTGCGTCTTGTATGCAATTTTATTTTCAGGCACAATTTTCAGGACGCTACGGAACGATTAACAATAGTTTTGGATATTTTAAGTTTACACCTATGAAAAAAAAATAAACGTATATAGCGCACTAGCGTGTGCATATCCCTTGTTCATTTCTAGCAAGTAAATTAATCTCTCAATGTACTTTAATCTCGGTTTAATTTGTCTTTTATCTCTTTTTAGTTCTAAGAATTGGAAAGAGATAAAAAGGTATCCGTTTGCTTCGTGCGAAATTAAGCCGTTCCTGTTATAATGCAATAATCGCACTTTATCTTATAATAGTTTTCTTATGTAGATTTATAAAGAAATACGAAATCGTAATACGAAACTGTGGTACATCATAAAATTGAAATACTCGTAAACTTGAAGATTTCAATAATTTCTTGCAGATTTACAAAAGTTTAATGATTGATGGATCGTTAATTATCGCTTGAGTGCATGTACGTCGTTATATCAGAGAATATCCGCTACCTTGAAAACACGCTTATGTTCGCGAGATTTAATTAACGCCATGCCGACCTTGTTTCGGCAATCGCAGGCAAATTATGCATTTCCAATCAAGGTCCCAACAGGTCGACTCGTCGAGGCAATGTATATATAAAATTGCTTTTGCATGCCGAGTTCGAGAGAGCATTAGAAACTTTTAACAAATAATTTTAACGCTCGTACTTAACTTTTGCACTCGTGCAACAATGAAGAAAATATCAATAACGAGGGAAACAGAAATTAAAAAAAAAATTTATCACAGATACCAGAATTAGCAGAGGATTATTTAAAAACACTAATGTCAGTTGGTTCGATTATATTATTAATTTTAAATTCTTAATCTCTACTTACAAGAGAATATGGAGCGCTCTATCTATAGGTCTCCTTTCCAAGTTAGCATCCAAGGAGTGCTTTCGCAACTGTTCTTCATTCTGAGTAAGGATATTTAAATGAGGTCGACGAGGCGTGAAACTGAATCGCACGGATGTTTGTTTAACATTAATATCAAGGAGAAGTTCTCGAATACCGATTGTAAGAAGTTCGCTTTGCAAAATTTACATGTATGCGCGTGCAAGTGAAAATAGGCGAACGGGAATGGAAACGTTAACAAGCATTACGTACCCTCACATCGGGTAACGGTTTATCCAATTGAAGACTCGCAAATTCTTCGAGTTCCATGATTCTGTGTCCATATGACTCCGTTTATTTTTAATATAATTTTGTATAACCTTCTAAACGCGCATTATCCTTCTTGAGAACAAAAGATATATTCACGTTAAACATAATCGAAACGCAAGAAGTTAAAACGAATGCGTCTTGGAGGCACCACGTTTTCTTTTTTTTTTAATTACAAAAATTAAGGTACATTTAATACTGTAATTTGCATCAAGATACGTGATTATGTATTTAGAATTAGATAAAGAATTAATGATAATTGATAAATTACAAAAGGAATCAAGCTCGTGTGTTTCAAGACAAGTAAGAAATTCGAATTAATGATATCTCATTTGATAAGAAAATTGAAATTCTAATCTGACTCGAGATGATCTTTCCAAGTCAGACTTTTTAATCCAAGTTGTTTTCCATCAAATGTGTTTATTGGTTGGTGAAATAATCTACTTGATATCTTAAAACTACTTATATCTTAGGCATATATTTATCTGAGTTACATTGTTTCTTCGAATGATACTCTTGTATGGTCGACATAATACTTTTATTACATTGATCACATATAAACACATCTGTATATGTTTACATTGAACTATATCATAAACAGTAGAAATCAAATATACTTCTACACGCTAAAATAATCACATCTACCAAGTTTAACGGATCTTATTAAATATTATATCGAAATTATATCATTCATAACAACATAAAAAAATGTATTCTAGTAGTATTTCAACAAATGTATTCTAGTAGTATTTTAACAAATGGCTGAATAATTAAAGATATTAGCAATTTTTGAAGTTATTACGTAGTCAATATTGTTAGTCAATCTGCTTAAAACTAAATGAGATCAAATGACTTGATTTGCACTTCTTTACTTTGAACTATTAATTAGTGTTAATAAAATAACAATTGTTTGATTACCCTGTTAGAAGTACCATATACATATATGTACCATGTTATAAAAGTATCTTCAAAAAATATTCCACAGCTATACATATATGCAATAAATAAAATGTTATTAATAACATTTGAGTACGATAGATTCTTGAAATTGTACATTGTATCATTACAATATTTGAAACTATTATAACACTGCTAAATTATGCATCTCCAGCTATTCATAAACACCATTTGATATAATCATATTTAACATTTAAACAGTCATCTTATTCTAAATCGTAAAATGTTAAATGTAAAAAAAAAAAAATATTGCAATTTGTACCATGTGCTTAGTTTATTTTATTTGGGATTAACTTTTAGAAATACTTATTTGGAATAGTATTTGGTACATCAAGTGGGAAATCACTTGACGTGGTTTCCCACCAAAAAAAAAAAATCGTGAACACATTTATTTTCTCAATTAATCTAAGCATATACTCAATTAATCTATAACATATACTGAAAAAAAAAAAAAAAACTTATTGAAATAAACGTTATTAGTATCGTTTTTATTATAAGAAAAACAGCTGATTTTCCAGCTGCGAACTTGAAGGTCGATGAAGAAATCGCCCCACCAACATCGATAACTTCTGTGCGTAATGACAAGGTGCTGGGACTCGAACAGTACTTGAGCAATTGTAATATACATGAGTTAACTTATAAGTCAGAGTTTGTACCGTTTCTGCGTCTAAACCCGTATTGTCATATATAACATTGTACGATGTAGGCGCAACTGTGCCTTGTCTAACTTGTTGCGATACAAGAAAGAAGTCATACTTAAGCGGATTTGTTATAACATCGTCAACAATAGTACCAATTTGAGGATTACGTTTGTAATCGAACAATCGAATATTAATCTTTTTAGTCACGATGATGAACATCATTTTAAAATTTGGACCGTAATATAATTCTTCAAGCTTCTTTGTCAAACTTTGAACTTCAATTTCGTAAACATTTTGAATCTGACCTTCGCTGACACCGTCACGATAAATTACAATATACATGGGTAAAGCTCTGTTATAAGAGCGATAAGCCATCACAGCCTTGCGCACACTTACGCAGAGTTGGTCCGCAAGATCTTCACTGCTGTTATATAAAGTAACAGAACTGAAATATTTTGTCAGCTTTTGATCCACAGTTGCCACCATAGCCACTATAATTATACAAATCGTGAAATCATTTCACTTACTTAGTTCATAAAAAATATTGCATAGATTAAATAAAATTAAAAAAACATGAATTAAAGCAATGTGATATAAAACATTGCAATTACATTGTTATTAGAATATTAAAATAGAAACGGAAGGGAGCATAAAATTAATACTGAAAAAATACTTACGATAATCTCTGCCCTTAGTGTTTGAGTCATGACATACATCAAAACCAATAGTCATTAATCCTTTTAAAGGATTGTCAATAGACCAAGGAGCTCCGCCCAACTTACAGTTCATTTGTATTGCCACTTTTGTAGCAATACTCATTACATTTCTCCCATCTATATTCTTTTGTAGAAATACCTGTGATGGTACAGGTCTATCCACACAACATTTCTTTTTAATAGCTGCATAACGATCACTGCGATTGTTGCTCACCACGCAGAACACTAAATCTGGAGTACTTTGGCTAAGAATTCCCTCAAGTACTTCAGCATATGTGCTTGCCCTATCATCGCCTATCAATTTTATATGCGGACTTCGAAGCATAAAAGATATTCCAGAAGACACTTGCATTAATTTACCTATAAAAGGCTGCAAAATTTTAAATTATTAAAATGAACATTTCGTATTAAAAACCATGTATATACATATGCAATTATATGCGCACAATTTTATTTTGATATATTTAATATCCATTTAATGAAAATTATTCACCTCTATATTACATCCTCTATGTACAATTATTACCCAGTTTTTCAATTCCTTACACTGTAATAATTGTTGTCTTTGCATGCTCCTTGACCATTCTCCTTTCTCACACTTAATCATATCTCTAGCAAATACAAGTTTCTGAGAAGGCAATACACGAGCAGGAACTTCAAGTAAATTTCTATCTAACGTCATATCCCAATCCTTAAATTCTTGCATAACTTTAGGCTCTTGACGAAGTCTGCTATTAAATCTCATCAGTTTATCAATACGAGATTCAGGTGAGATACAAGTATGCACAGCTAATGCTTTCATAAGATGAAAATTCTCTCTCATAGTATCAGTTAAACCTGAAAGATAGAAAGTTCCGTCAGTACAAAATTTATCTATATACACAAATTTATACACAAAGCACAAGTGTATCTATTATATATCTATTAAATTAAATTTAAAAAAAATAATTTATTAAGTACCTGTAGGGCGACATAATTCAGGAACTAGATAAACATAGTCTCCTGGACCTGCGTTTCGTTGTTTTGGCTTATTTCTCGTTACTAACATTGGTTGGGTGACGTTGTGTATTTTAATCTGGTATTTGTTCCAGTAGTAATCTTGATAAGACACTTCTACACCAGTTTTCATAGAAAATTTCGAGGAAGGACTCGCATTAAAATCCACATCGTTAATACGATATGTAAGATTATTATAATCCGTAAGTACCATCATTCCAACTACAGCGTGACCGAACTCTGTCTAAAAATGCATATAATTCTTATTTTTAGAATAAACATGTAATATAATATACTAATGTATAATCTGTACCAAGTACCAACTTTAAGCAGAAAGTTTTGCGTTAAATTTCAAAAAATTTTCGAAATTATAAAAATAAAATCGAAAATATAAATGTAAAAAAAAAATGTTAAAAAATCTTTAATATTTTCTAATATCTTATTATGTGACAGTGACAAATGTAAAGAACACGATTTTTAATTTAATTACTCGTGCATGAAGTATGCCACACATATTTAAATTATATTATATTCTATATTACTTTTTAAATAAATGCTAAATGATAAAAATGCTAAATATACAAATAAAAATTAATATCTTACTCTATAGTCCTTACTACTGCGATTCTTGATATCCATTAACATGTGCAACAGAGAATCTTGACGCATCACTTTATGTGATATTTCGGCGCACAGTAGAATGTCGTGTTCATATTGTCTAATGGATGTAATATATCCAGGCCACAATTCCAATTTGTGTTGATTTACACAAACCTACATGAAAGTACAATCATTATTATAATTGTTAAATTTTCCATTTAATAAAATACAGAATATCCATATAAATTTTATACTAACTTTATTTCTAGCGTCATAATAGTCACGGCCCACCAATTGCAATTTCAAATATTCCAAGCACTTTCTCATTATTATGTTAAAAATGACATTATAGTACGGATCATCCGGCGTCATATTTCCAACTAAACATATAATAATCTTGATAGGTGCATTATCGGATTGTCTCGTTGACATCAGTTCCATTTTCTGAAATTTTTCATACGTACTTGTAAAAATGCTTAGCCGCGCATACCTGCTTGTACAGCAGTATGAAATGTACTGATATACTTACATCTGGTAAACGGGTACTTGTATACAAGAGGGTACCATCAAAAATATATGGACCAACTTTCTCTTTATGAAGTCTAAGCATGCCTTTGCGAATATGTGTACGCTCTTCGTCGGGTTCGAAATCGACTCGATATTTATAAAGACACCAATTGGGTACTGTGGGCAATCTGAAGTGATTTGTTAGCAGCATTTTTGGTGTCCCAGAAGTACCTGTAAATTGATAGAAATTAAGTGTTATAAAAATCGTGTTATTTGCCTTTTGCCGTATTTACATACGTTGTAATATATAGATACATGCTGTAACTTCATAACACATTAAGATTTTATACTGACCTTTTTTAGTCACCAAGGTACTTGGTCTGCTAACAAAAATAGCTTCCATCTTACGTCGGCCACGTGACCCTCTTTGCGATGCATCATCACTTTCGCTTTTAACTTCACTTTTAATTTCGCTCTTGACATCACCTTTAAATTATACATAAAAAACTTTAACCACTAATTTAAATTTATTATACTTTTCTTGTTTCTAAATAATATAAAAATCTCTTACATCCTTTATAGCTTATTATTAAAATATATGTTGATAAATCAATAATTTAAAAAAATTGAATAATAAAAATATATAATAAAGACTTCTACAAAAAAACTTACTCGCAGTTTCCATTGACTCCGAGAACGCAGAGGGAGAAGCTTCCCGTTTGATACTCTGTTGCTATAGAATAACATATTTATTACATTCTTATAAATTTTTAAATTTAATTTTATAAATATGCATTAATAAATCTAAATTTCTCGTTAGAAAGAATAAGTATTATATAATAAGTATTATATGCAAAATTCTTGGAATAACAGATTTCTATATACATGGATATGTTTTAAATATATCAAACAAAACGATATAATTTATATATTACACTAAAAATTTAAATATTGTAAATCTTACCAACCTTGACTATTCCTCTCACTGATGAACGATCCTGTAAGAAGCAAAAAAATATATTCAATTACAAAGTGTACAAAGTACAATTGTACAATGGGTCTAATCTATAAGCAAGGATCAAGAATAATAACATAAAAAATTCCTTTAAAAATTTGAAAATTTTTACTATATATCAAATTACATTCAGAAAGACAGTTTTCTGTAAAAATCTTAGCAAGAGTTCTCGAAATAACAATTACATGTATCATCACAATGAGAAAAAAAAAAGAAGTGGTTTTTGAACATTTGGAAAGAAATTTTAAAAACACAAGAAGAGTTATGCCATAATAAGCTATTTCACAATTTTGTTTTATCTCTATTGTTTTCAGCTTAAATGTTTCGGGAAAGACGTCTGTTTATTTTTCAGTTTCCACTTACTGATTCTGAAGTTCTGTCGTACGGTTTCCTGCGATATCCACTACTGGTCGATGGTTCTGAGGAATCATAACCTCTGTTTTTCTCTTGCTTGGACATCTTTATGATTTAATGGTTGAAAATTGCAATTAACAATGTTGGGCGTCTCTGAAAAATTATTCTATTTCGTTATACAATCTATCAATGGTAATATTTAAAATAAGCAGAATTTATTTGAGAAAAATATTTTGCCACAATTTTATATCACATTTGTGTTTAGGTATCGCGAGAATCACAAGGAGACATGGACTTTGCAATTGTGGTTCAGCTGAAGACTGCTAATGTTGATTTCTACCAATGCTGATTAACTTTACTCTCTATTTAACTTACACTTTATAGTACTTATTCCTTATACAGATGCCACTTGTTATTTTCTTCTACTTGAAAGTCTACTTTCACTAATTATCAACCAATTTACACTATTTGTTGAAATTTACTGTAAATTGAATTACTATTAGTAGTAAGTAAGACAGCAAGTAGTAATAGTAATTTTAAACTTATTAAATTATTAAATTATTTTATATATGCATAGTAAATGTACATATTTATTAGTCAATATGTATATGTATATATATGTGCACATACATATCTATTGATAATATAATATATAATATATAATATATAATTATAGCCAAAAAATTGTGCATCATATATGTTAATGTATCAATGTAATTCATAATATTTTTCTGCTGTACTTATATATTATATTATCAATATGTATGTCAGTATGTCATATATTGACTAGTAAGTATATACATTTACTGAATTAAAACATTTACCGTGACACATGTTTATATAAATATATATATATATGGACTCCACACACACACACACACACACACACACACACACACACACACACACACACACACATATATATATGTATATATATATGTATATATATATGTGGAATCCGTATAACAAATAAATTACATATAACAATCAATTCTCATCTTACTAATTCCTAAAATTAGTAAAAAAAAACGAAAAGTAAGCTAAACCGAGATCAAAGTTCATCAATATTGATCGAAATTAACATAATTAATTTTATGCTAGACTATCGCGATTTATATTTCTGTCGTCCAATTATTCGATATTCCATAAGTTTTCACGAAACGATATATCTCCAGTGTTTCAACAGGTCTTACAACGCAATTGAAAGAACTATAAACATCTCTCATTCTTACAATTTACTTATGCTTACCCCGCAACGGAATATATATATATATATATATACACGTGTGTGTACACAAACTGCTGCGTATGCAAAGAAAAAAAGGACGCTATGACGAAGAACCTTCTAGCTACAGGCCTGTTCTTCTCATATAAACTTCTTCCGGTGTCTTGCACGTTTCATCTATTCTCTCTTTCTCTCCAACGCGAAAAGAAGAAGAGGCAAGACGAACCGTGCAAAAAGTTCAGCCGAAAAAGAACAGTCCTGATATGTATCACCTTACTTTTCACGCGCGCGCGACGATCACGTTACGAGATTTATCCCAATTTCTCGCTTCCACGCTCGTCTCCACGATCGGAATGGATTCGGGAAACCGAGCGAGATGCCCTTCCTCTTATAAAATTCTCCTCGTACTTAGTCACGTATAGGCTCGATAACAATCGGTCCCTTTGCGCGTCGCCGGGATCGAACTGGCGTGTGGGAAATTGGTACGCATGTAAATATGACGAACCAGGACCACGCGTTAAACGTCTCTATCCCAGTAAATATTCCACCTCGCCCCACCGCCCCTACCACGCCGTCCCATAACATTTACCTTGCGATTCCTCCTTGTTATTTCCGGCCACGGGCTCGGATCCGATTATTTTTCGATGCTCCGGGCGACACAAAATTTCCACAGACCACAACCGGCCGGGTCGGCTCGTGCGACACGTTTGAGCGTTCAAAAGAAAACGGGTGGTCCCAGCGTGAGCGTGCATCGATGGCCCGTGTGGTCGGTGTGGTAAACAGCGTCACGGATAGCCCCTCAACGCGACACAAGCCTCACCTAACCAATCGCCGGTCGAGTAACGCGCAAGCGACGCACGATTGGTCGCGTTCGAACGGTGCGGGGTGACGCGTGGACGATCGACGACTGAGCCGGATCGATGGACGCTGCCGCGACGATGCCGCCTCGACCTCGCCGATTCGAGATTCGCGGGGGGCCTCAAGGCGTCGCGAGAAACCGCGGGACGCGCGACAAAAGGAGTCTGTCGCGCGCGGCGAGATCGCAATCGCGACGGTAACGCGCGGTGAGCGCGATTCGAAACCACCAATCGGCGTGCGGCATTCTCGGTCGTGAACAACGCACCCCTCCGGCACGTAGCAACTGTTAAAGGACGTTCTCTCGTCCTTATACGAGAGAAAATCGATTTTCTTAGGATTTTCTTGAAACTGTGAATATACG